TAGATTTTGAGTTTAAAAACTCAAAAAAATCACTTTTTATATTTTTTTAGAACTGGCTTTGATGATGTTCACCGATTTATATTGAAGCGTTGGCAGCTAGAGAAGGACTTCGGTTGGCAGTCGAAAGGGCTTTACAAAATGTGTTATTGGAGGGTGATTTGCTTCATATCTCTTCAGCTTTACTTGAGTCTTCTACGAATATGTCTACTATCGGACCTATCCTAGAAGATGCTAAGTATTTCCTGAAGATGATTGCTGGAGCTAATGCGTCCCACGTTCTTTGCCAAGCAAACTCTATGGCCCATAGGCTTGCTCGTTTTGGACTTCATTGCAGAGTTGATTGTACTTGGTTTGATGAAACACCCTATTTGATTTGTGATCTAATTGAGGAAGATATCTCCATACCTTGTACCAAGTAGTCTAGTTATGAATTTTAATGACAATCATATTGTCTTTTATAAAAAAAATTTAAAAAAAAAGATGCTAATTTTTGACAAAAAAAAAAATCAAGTTAGTTTTGAGTTTAGGCTATTTTGGTCAATGAGTTCCGTCCCACCCTGTGTACCAAACACACTTTGTTATGAAATTTGGGCCAAAAGTGAAATGGGCCTGGCCCATTATCTTGTTGCACTTCTGTAAATTGAGAGAAAGTTCGCGTTTAATATTTGAAAGGCAACTTCGATTACAAAACCGTCTTAATTTTCCCGCTTCCTTTAAATAGAGAGATGATCAGACAATTTCTTAGAGCACTTCCACCCTTAACAAATGTGCTAGTCCAAAGTCTATTTTTCAAGCCAGTCTCCCCTAAAACCCACTCCACTCCATCCAATAGGTTGGCCCAAAGTGGAGGCCAGCTTTGAGCCCAGCACATAATGGACTGAGCAAGAGGCCGCCATGTGAATTTCTTCTTTTTTTTTTGCCTCTGGTGCGTGGGATACACACGCCTATGGGCGCTCGTTCCAGCATTAAAAAAATGTCAAAATCTTACCGTGGGCCATGTGTCCACTTTTAGGCTGTTGGATTTAATCATTTTTGAAATCCAACAGCTCAGATTAATTAACTTAATAAAAATTGTTTAAAAATACTGAAAAAAATTAAAAGATTTTATTTTATTTTATATAAATACCTAACCATCTTTCACAAAAATTGTACTTTCAGAAAATGACACGTGATGTGATAAGATTCGTTAAAAATTATATTCGAAATTAAAAATAATTTTTTTTATTTTATGAAAAAATTAATAATATTTTAATACGAATTGACTATACTTTTGCCTATCTCATTTTTTAGAGGTGGAAATGCATTTGGCCAATTATTGTTCATTGGAGTTAATTACTATTCTTTTAGTTGGATTAAATGTACTTTGGTCAGCTCTTTTTTAGAGGTAGAGTTGCTCTTAGGCCAACTCCAACTCATGGCTTAAAACCTATAATTCCCCTTCTATTCCCCCCCTCAATCCACTCCAACCTAAGTTCTAATTTGGACTTAAAACCCAGATTTAGGCCAAGATTAGTGATGGAGCCCCCACTTGGGTGTGTCTCTCACTTGTTTGCCAATAAAATTAAGCCCACTTGCTTTTTTGGTTGATCAACGGCTCACATTCAAATGAGTTGTTGATTATCCAACGGTCCACATTTAATTTAGTTAATATTTTTGTTTGATATTTATAAATTTATTAAATCCAACGACTGAGATCGAATATGATCGAATCTAACGGTCCAAATTTAAATTCAACGGTTAAAATAATTATAAAAAATTATTTAACTTAAAATTCACCCTAAACTCTATAAATATACCTATATATTTGTTGAAACATTCACACAAAACTCACTTTTCTCATACAATTCTTCCAATTTTTCTTCTACCATCTTCCAAAACCATGTGTTTGCTCATGCATGTTGTGTCTATACATCTCTATCATGTGTTTCATATTCTTCTATAGTGTTTCATGAGTTTTATGTGTCGGTTTAGTGATTTTTCAATGTTTATCGGTATTTAAATATTTTTAGGTTAAAATGTTCATAAAATTAATTTAGGATTCTACATAATTTTTTTTAAAAGTCAATTTAAAAAAAAACCTAAATTCATTTTTTAATAATCTGAGACTAAAATTGTAGGCTTGAAAAATTAGAGCAGAAAAATTGTTTCGGGATACAAATTTTTCTGGGCTAAAAATTTTAGGTTTTAGACCAGTGTTAGAGATGGTCCAAGCTCTCGCAATTCTCTGTTCAGCTCTCTCTTCTAGCTCTGGAATGGATACCGCTCAAATTTCAAAAGACTTCATGAACTCAGGTAACTTTCTTCGACTTTTCACCGATTTTTCCTCCTGAGTTCGTAATTTGAATGTTAATTTCGTTCATTTTTCTAGTAGAGCGATTATGTGTTAGATACAGTTGTTAAATCTACGAACTGAGTTGGTAATTTGAATGTCAATTTTGATCAGGTTCTAAGTAGAGCAATTATGTGTTGGATACAATTTCTAGATTTTGGATCGTTTCGGTTTATCAACAAACTGAGTTCGTAATTTGAATGTTAATTTTGATTTTCTAGTAGAGCTATTACGTGTTAGATACAATTTCTGGATTTCGGATTGTTTCGGTTAAATCTATGAACTGAGTTCGTAATTTGAACGTTGAATTTCCATCATTTTTCTAGCAGAGCTTATGTGTTAGATACAATTTCTGTATACTGTTCTCGTATCGTTTCGGTTAAATCGACGATCAAAATTTAGAATAGAAAGATTCCGAACCGTACACGTCGTATGATGAGCAACAGTTGGAGGGACGAAGCATCCGTCTTTCATCAACTTCATCTCCGCTTTCCTCGCTGCAAACTCTTTCCGCCGCAACTTCGTCCCAATTTCCCCTGTAACTTCCTTTATAGTAGTAATATGATCTTATGACTTTGGTGACTAGCTTATTGTTGAGACTCTTAAGTATGTGCTGGTTTGATTATGCATCGTAGGACTTCATTTTCAACTGTGGGGGTTCTTCCGTGGCGTTCGTTTTTGTGACTAGCTTGGAATCCACTACAATCTCGCAGCTCTTTGGCAGGTCAACAAGTTAATTGCTCTTGTTTTTCGGTGCCTCCTGTATGTGTATGTGTATGTGTTTCTGTTTTATATTTGATGCGTTCTGTTTCAAAGAGTTATCAAAGCCATTCCGGGCATCGACACTCCTGACGCAAATGCAGTACGTAACTCATCATATGAACAAACTTCATCATATAATCATATGCTGTTTTCTTGGATATTCATACAATTTGTCATTGCCAAGATGGTTTTACACATTTGCAAATTTGCAATCATCATGACAGAAAGTTTTGGTTTTACACATTGGCAAATTTTCAGAAAGTTTAACTAGAAAACAGAAAGTTTTGGTTTACTTAACTATCTTGTACTATTTTACTTTATTAAGATCTATGATGGCTGACATAGAGTCCCCTAAAGCAGGAAACCAAGTTGTTTACTTGTTTAACACTAGTAAAGAACATGGAACAACCTTGGTTGTGGTGATTTTGGAAGCTGCTATACTAGTAAGGTATGACTCTAGGTCGACCGATGATGATGGCAACATAGGTAATTACTTTCTTCACAAAAAAGTTTATGGTTGTATTTAAAGTCTTCAAATTCTTGGTATATTTGGTTAACTTTCACGAGTCATGCCCTATTCCATATGCAATTATGAATATACTCTATCAGACACGAAAGTAAGATATAGATATGGGACCCTATTCAAATTTTAGGATAAGTGTTGAATAAAAACAACCCAAAGTTTCTTTGTTTCACTTTTATTTAGTTTATTTGTTATATTTGCAGTATCAGACCAAAGAACGAAGATGCGGGAGATAACTACAAAGATATGTTTAGCAAGGTGCGGCGATTGACAATTATCCATGGAACTCTGGCAATGTTTGGACATCACGAAGCCTTCTCTACTCCTCTGATTGTTACAGATATCGCAAAGAGTAGAGTTGTTGCTATAGAGAAGTCTGATGACATTCAAAGACGATACAACGATGTCATTGGGGTGCTTCATCGCAGGCATGGAGGATGGGGTAACTGCATTTGCTTATTTATTGTTGACTGCAACATCTTACATACCAAGAGGTTATATTTGCATAAATGTTTTACTATTAAATAATGTGGGTTTGCAGATCCCACAAGTATATCTTATCGATTGTGAATACAATGCCCGACGCAAAAAGTATGTATGCTACCTTAGCCAAGTTCTTACAATAGATGGTGCAGGATCGGGTAGACCTATTGCTTTACTAGTATTCGAATCGATGCGTCCATATGATCGTGCCTGAGACATAGATGAAGTAACAGAGTCACTTTTTTTTGCATTGCTGAAAGTTGCATTGGTTGACCCATTCACGGGAGGAAACTTAAACGGTAAGTTTTAAGTCAATGAAGATTTTAATTATTCATTTATAAAGAACTCAAGGTTATATCATAGTAGTACTATATATCGCAGTAATTCATTTTCATAACCAAAAGTAATGTTCTATAGTTGACAATTATCATTTTCGTCAATTTTTGTGGGAAGTTGCTAAAGTGACATCCGAAGGCATTCAAACGATGTTCAACCACTGTCCAACTTTGTACGCTGTTGTTTGACATGTTGGAAGAGAGTCAGATGACCCTTTTTGTGATGTACAAGTTTGACCAAATTAGCAACTAAGACTGGTTTCTGTGCTGTTGATGATGTGTTTTATTTTGAAATGCTGCTAATTTGTAAAACTATTTGCCAAGCACCTGGTCTAGTACAGACGCTTGGACATCCATTTGTTCAGTTGAAGGGAAATTTCTCCAGAGAATCATCATTCACAACAGTTGACATTACTGATGAGATCTATGGGCGGACAACAGTAGAAGATGATCCAAGTAACTCACCATTCGTCATGGACCCGACGATTAGGTATTATGCGATTGGTGGTAGACTAACAGGAGTACATCATATTTACATGACAAGGTGTTCCCAAGCCTTTTTGGAAGATTTGATAGTTGGAACCCTAATAAAACTTAACAGAGGTTGGGAACACCTTGCCATGTAAATCCGATGAACTCTTGAGTCTACCACCAATCGCCTAATACCTAATCGTCGAGTCCATGGTGATTGGTGAGTTACTTGGATCATCTTGTTCTGTTGTCTGCCCATAGATCTCATCAGTAATATCAACTGTTGTGAAGATGATTCTCCGAAGAAATTTCCCTTCAACCGGACTAATGGATGTCCAAGGGTTTGTAGTAGACCACGTGCTTGTGCTCTGCAAATAGTTTTACAAATTAGCAATAGTTTAAAATAAAGCACATCATCAACAGCACGGAAAAGACAAGTGATCACTGTATTGATTTCCTCAAGTCTCAGTTGCTAATTTCGTCAAGCTTGTACATCACAAAAAGTTTCATCTGACTCTCTTCCAACGTGTCAAATCACTTCATACAAAGTTGGACAATGGTCCTAAACATCGTTTGAATGCCTTTGGATGTCACTTTCGCAACTTCCCACAAAAATTGACGAAAATGATAATTGTCAGCCATACAACATTACTTTTGGTTAGGAAAATGAATTACTGTGATATATAGTACTACTATGCTATAACCTTGAGTTCTTTAGAGTTGAATAATTAAAATCTTCATTGACGTAAAACTTACTGTTAAAGTTTCCTCCCGTGAATGGTTCAGGTAATGCAGCTTTCATCAATGCAAAAAAAAAAAAAAGTGACTATGGTACTTCATCTATGTCTCTGGCACGATCATATGGACTCATCAATTCAAATACCAGTAAAGCAGCAGGACTACCCAATCCTGCACAATCTATTGTAAGAACTTGGCTGGCTAAGGTAGCATGCATACTTTTTGCGTCGGACAGTGTATTCACACTTGATAATATACTTGTGGGATATGCAAACCCACATTATTCAATAGTAAAACATTTATGCAAAGATAACCTGTTGGTATGTAAGATGTTGCAATCAACAATAAATAAGCAAATGCAGTTACCGCATCCTCCATGCCCGCGATGAAGCACCTCGATGACATCGTTGTATCTTCTTTTGAATGTCGTCGGACTTCTCTATAGAATTGATGCCCAGCAAAAACCACTAAAATTCCATGGTTTCCTGCAGCAATGGAAGCGGTGTGCCTGTAAATTAAAACGAGATCCATCAACTGTCTTTTGAAATGGATGTTAAACACATGAAAATAAACATAAATATATCACCTTTCCATAAAATTTGTAGGGTTACTGGTTTATTATTTTTTTTTTGCTTTCATGTCAAAATAAATTGCATAATTTATTTATCCTAACACCAACGATTTGTTGGGTTTCCAGTTATCAACGGTATTTTTCCTGCGTCTTTATGTGAATGCATTAATGCTATGAAAATGAATTTGAAAGAATTAACACAGATGCAAAAGACACAATAGAGCAATTTCTCCCGGGACAAGTTAGAAAACTCACGTGCCATGACCATCTCCGTCAAATGGAGAAGCGTAGTCCAGAGATGAATTGAAAACGCCTCTGGTTATAGCAGATGATGCAAAATGGCGAGCTGCAATAAGCTTCCTATTCCAGGACCCAGATGGGAAATCCGGAGTAATCTCACAGGAGAAGACTGGAGAGAGAGTGATTTGGAGGAAGAGAGGAAGGAGAGAAAGAGAGACTAAGGAAACAGGAGGAGAGAGAGAGAGTGTGTGTGTTTGAGAAAACCAAGAGGTGAAATGGGAGTGACGGTTTGTAAACTTGGGAAATTTTATAAAGCATTAAAGATTAGAATGCCTATAAATAAGGGAGCATTTTTTCTCACCATCATAAACTATGTGTATGCTTACCATATACATAATCATTTGACATGTGTCATTTCACTTAATTTTGTTTAATTTTTTTCAAAATTGAAAAACTAACATTTATTATAAAAGTTAACTAAAATTAAGTGAAATGACACGTATTAATTAATTAGGTGTATGGTGAGCATACATCATAGTTTATGGTGATGAGCAAAAATGCTCCCTATAAATACTCGTACAACTATAGCAACACAAAGCCTACAGTCAAGTTGGCTTGAAGCAATCTGGAATACACAATCAGGGTACTTTTTCTACTCCAAATTGTTGTACAAGTCCGTCCACTTCATCATCCTTTCATTTGGCCAAAGCGTCTCCTGTTCAGCCGCTGCCCACCGCGGCCGTCTACCTTGTGCAGTTCTATGAGTCACGAGATTCACAACCCCATTCTACATGTGCGCCCGGCACGTTTGTGTAAATGTCCAAAACCTGGTTTAGTGGTCTAGTCTTTTAAAAGCATCCCGTGCATCTTTATCATATTATAATATTGCTTAATTTCTCTAAAGAATGTCATGGATTTTGCTCACATCAACGGACGCAAATGTCAAGCTATTGATGGCGGAGTGATTGCATGATCCACTTCTTTTCTTCCCAATTGTGTCTGTTGTAATCTTTGAGAAATTATTCTCTTTTAATAGCCATCAGAAAAACACTATTCATTAACGGTGGTTTGACCGAAATGCTCCTCATTTTTTCTTCAAGTCCCGTTATTTTTTGTATTCAGTACAGTGAAGTTACGAATCTACCCCAGTTGTGTACGTGTCGGTCATCGTGGATAGAAAAGAGATGCAAAAACTCTTGTTGGCATGAGTTGAATATTCTCTTACAAAAGTGATTTTCTGTGAAGTTACAAAAGTGACTTTCTGTGAATATTCTCTTATAAAGTTGTTAAAAGGAACTTTCTGTGAAATCTTGCCTGAGCCATCTTTTGCAAAAAGTTGTTAAAGTGACTTTGGGTGTGTTAATTAGGTTCATTGAATGATTGGGTTCGTTGAGTCTTATACACAGGTTCATTAACTCTTCTACATTTACGTTCAATGTATGAAGAGTACACGACATGTATTTGTATTTCCTATATGTTTATACATTTGAGGATGAATGGAATTAAGAAAGAATTAAACCAAAATTTAGCAACTCGTCAGTTTCCCATTGCTTCTAGAAACCACGACCAATAGAAATCTCACTCTCACAAACCCTTCGTTCTCCATTTGCCGTTTTCGTTCCAAATTTCACCACCCATTTCACTCAAAAATAACTATGAATCCCAACACCCAAGTTCCTCGTATTCACTACAAGGCAGTAGTGCATGTAGAGCAATAGTAGGTAGATTACTGTTTGGGCCCAAAATAATAGTTTGGGCCGAGTATAGAATCATTCTCGGCCCGGAAGGCCTTGCGACAAGAATGCCATGGATCGTTCAGTACGTGGGCCTCCAAACCTAGGTCGGCTAGGTCATAACGCAAGAATTCGAGTCCTAGTGCAATGAGGAGTCTCGGCAGGACTAGTAACCCGGAAGCGAATTCGGCTCGGTTAAGGACTAGGTTCACAATCCTAGTGAAAATAGGACTGGTCGAGTTGGTGTTGATCAGGAGAAGAAGACCTAGTCCTAGTAGGGTTTTAACTCGGATTCAAAGAGATCCAGTGCTATAAATAGGGGAGGCTGTACATCATTCAAACCCCCTGCAAATCAATACAAAACTGCCCTGCGCAAACTCTCAACAACTTGAGATTTTTTCTTTCTTTTTCGCTGACACATATTCCGTTGGCATCAACAGCACTGTGGAAGCAACCGGTGATATCTTAAGTCGGCATAGATAGCTCTGTCACCGTAGAATCAGTCGATCTCGCAGTATCTTCCGTTGGCATCAACAGCACTGCGGCGAGAACGGTTGGTTACCTATCCAAGTCTCGGTCGAAGAGGATTTCCGGGTCCTTATTGATTGAGGTCATCTCATTAGCCTTCTCGGCGAAGTGAGGTGTTACGGTATATCGAGCTCGGCGCTGTGCTCGCGGAGTTATTTTATGATTGGATATTCCCAAGTGGGATTTAGAGTTCGGCATTCGGACGGCCGAACCACGTTCACCATTAAAACTTATATTTGCTTTGAGTATTTGTGCCCTTACACTTTGGTGTCGATTCGGCGTGAGTTTACTCTGACGAATAACATCACTGTGACTGAATCCGACGACGACGACTCGTGAACTTCGTAAGAATAGTAACCTTGTCTTCAGGTTCGAGAACCCAAGAGGCCGAGATGCGTTCCTTCCTCGGTCGCAATCGCAAGACGCAGGAGTCAGCCGCGCACCCAACGCAACATCAACAAATTTACTCCTCGGCCGAACTCAGCCGACGAGTTGGCACGCCCGCATTCACCGAAGGACGTAGTTAGCTTATAGATTACTCGACCTGCGCGCCACGTAGGCTTGGTAGTTTCTAGGGTCAACAATTACTAAACCGCAGGTGGCACTCAACGTTAAACTATGCTATTGCTAATTAAACTGTCCAACCTAGAGAGCAGAAACTTGAGTGTAAGGATGATATTGAGAGGTACCAGGCACGATTGGTGGCCAAGTGACATACTTAGACATATGGTGTTGACTATACAAAACATTTGCTCATGTAGCAAAGATTAATGCGCTAAGAGTGTTGTTTTCCTTGGCAGCCAATTTAGATTGGCCATTACAACAATTTGATGTGAAAAATGCTTTCTTTCATGGCAATCTCAAGGAAGAGGTGTACATGGATATTCCGTCGGGGCATACATCGGTCTCGCAACAAGGAGCGACGCACAAATTGAACAAGGAGTTGTATGGACTGAAACAATCATCTCGAGCATGGTTTGGGAGGTTTCAGACGGCCATGAGAAAGTATGGGTTCAGGCATAGCAATTCCGATCATACACTCTTCCTAAAACGTCGAATGGGTAAGTTAACGACACTAATTATTTATGTGGATGATATCATTGTAAAAGTTTTCTACTATGAGTTTGTCAAATAAAGCATCATGTCAAGAGAAGAAAAAAGAAAATATAATCATAGTTTGTGGGAAAATGCTAGGGACACCACAAATTTTAACACATTAGTATACTATCTGAAATGTCAAGTGACGTATACATGTCATGTCAGTTAATGAATTTATATCGTTAGATATTTGTTATATGCATCACTTGTCACGTAAGATGATACACCAATATGATACAAAAATATGATCTCCTAGGCGATACTCCTAGTTTGTTTCGTGATAACCACCAGAGAATGAAGTCCAAACTTATTATTAACGATTATTTATGACAATTAAGACATCATTTGGGCATATTAATTAAACAACATAGATTTTTTTTTATTAAATAAATTGCATGAGGGCCTTCAATCCTCTTAGGGCCGTGCGTGAAATTTTCGAGCCCTAACAAGGCCGAAGCACTCCCGCCAAACCGAAAGCTTGACTTTGAGTTGAAGCTTTTCTCTCTCGTGTGGTAAATAAAAATACCAAACGCGAGGCCGCACAACACAATCTCTACTTACACGTGTGGAGAAGGGAGGATAAAAGAGAAAGAAACGCCTAACCCATTCTGTGTGTCTCGCTCTTCCTCAAACAAAGCCATGATGGAATCCCGAGACCATATCGGATCAGGATCCGGATCCGGATCCGTCAAGGGGTGGCATGCGGCGGAACTGGCGAAGTTCAAAGCGTTCCACGACCGTGAGAACAACGACCACGATATCCAGAATACAAAATGTATGTTTTTTTTTTTTTTTTTTAAATTTTGTCTTAGGGTTTATCTGTGATGGGGAAGATGATCTGGAATTTGCAATTGGCTAACAGCAACTATGCAATGCTTTGAATTAGAGAACGAAAAGTAAAGGGGCCTTTAGTTATATGTTTGCTTGCTTACGCATTCTATCAGGAATTTGTCGTCTGAACAGCGCTGTGTAAGTGCCATACAACGCTTCTATGGCCCGTAAAAAACATTCAAATTTTACAGCGCATCCATGGCGCAATTAATATTCAAGCATGTATACATCACTATCAGATGCAGTTTGATTGTGATCAGAGACCGTCTAACAGCAACTAGAAATTAGACATATATAAGACATACCATCATTATGCTAGTTTATGGGCACATCGATGCTCTCTTATCATTAACCTCATGGTTTGCGAGTGCTGATTTCCATAGCAAGTAAGCTTTTTATTCTGATCACAATACTTGGAAAATGGGAATGCATGCTGTTTTCTGCTTTCTGTTCTGTAGTTTATATTTTTGTAGCAGGATAATTTCGCCGGGGCCGGGTGTCTTATTTATTATTTATATTTTATATTTTAGGCATTCAAGTATTCCGACTTTTGACCTTTAAACAAATTAACAGACAAAGAGGAATATGTCTAAGGATAAACAAACAAAGAGGAGGACGATTTACAAAAGGGTGTTGGAGACTCAATGACTCGACTGACTCAACTGGAACTCGACCACAAAGAAGAAGAAGAAGAAGAAGAAGACAAAGAAGGATTTGATGCTGGCTGTGCAATTTGTTGTACAGAAGGTAACCACGGCACTGGTACTTGTCCGTACTGGGATTTCAATTCAATTCAATCCAAGCTTTAACTGGGACCAACTAAAAAAAATGGAAACAAGACTTAGAGATTGTTCTAGGTCTCATGGACTTAGATGTTGCTTTGAGAGAGGAAGAACCAGATGTTCCTGAAGAGGATGACTCGACTAAGATTACAAACAAGTATGAGAAGTGGCATAAGGCAAATAGGATGGCAATTCTCATTATGAAAAGGGCAATGTCTGACACTGTGAGAGGTGGTACTGCTGATATGGAGAGTGCTAAGGAATTTTTGGCATCAATTGAAGCTAAGTTCAAGGAATCCGATAAAGCTGAAACCGGAAACCTTATGAACTCATTGATGACAACCAAGTTTGTCGATGGAAGTGCGAGGGAGCACATATTGGGGCTGATTGATATTGCTACTAAGTTGAATGCTTTGGATGTTGCAATTAGTGATCCATTTTTGGTTCATCTGGCTCTCAACTCTTTGCCTTCGGAGTACTCTCAACTGAAAAGCACATACAATGCTCAAAAGGAAAAATGGAATCTCAATGAGCTTATAGCTATTTGTGTTCGCGAACATAAGATAAGAGAAAAGCAATGTTGCTAATTTAGTCCACACTCCACACCCATGCTAAGAATTATACCAATGAAATTTCCAAAAATCCCTCCTACAAACCTAAGGGGTCTAACAACTTCAAGGCAGCAACTAAGCCAAATGGTTTGAAGTGTTAGTTTGAATACATCTTGTTACTAGTCTTAGCATACTTTTTTTATTCAAAAGAAGTTACCAGTTGGTCACGAAATCATGGCCGTCATTTTTTTTTTATGTTGGGAGAGATTCACAGAATTATTTTAACTTTCCTCTAACTACCATCGTAGGATTTCCTAATGTTTTATTTTGTCAAATTCTATTTTAGTGCGTACTCATCACACGCCACAACATTCCTCATCACTTATCAGCAGTAATTTCTAATCAAAATATCCAAAAGGAATTATTATTAGCACTCAAAAAATCTCCTTTGACACTCCAAACTTTTTATAATTAGGAAGAAAAGTACATTTGTGAGGAGTGTAGAATGTGATTTTTGAAGTGTTAATAACAATTTCCTATCCAAAAAGCCAAATCAACAAACAGCCCACAAACTCAATGGTGTGCAAAATGAACGGCCGAGATATCACAATCAGAAGAGATTTTTCAAGGTATCTACATCATATGTCATTATATAAATAAAATAATATTTAAAAAATAAATAAACAAATGATGTAAACCGCGCCGTGTTGTTCCGGTCACGTTAAAAATCTCTCTCCGCAACCAGAACGTAACATACCATAACACGTAAGAGTCACAAGGAATCACAACCCGATATTTTCAGAATCCAAGGTGGAAGAAACAGACAACATTTTTGTCCGATGTGAGAAATCCAGCCGGAATTGTCAAGTGATCAGAAACCTCTCCATCAATCAAACAACTGGACGGCTTAAATCCCCCTTTTGTTTTTTTTGGTTTTTCGATCTTAATTATGTGGCTGCCACACAAACGGAACAAAAATAAGACCATCAGATTGTGAAAATCTTGGGGTTTTGAGGGTGGGTCGGGAGATGGATCAGTTTGTGGTGGTGTGAGGAGTCCACGACCCCTAATTAGTTGAGAAATTTGGTTTTTCGCAACTGGGTTTCTCTCGGATATGGCGGAAAAGCTTTGCCTGATGGCCTCCCATGGCTATCCTCACGGCCGCGTTCTGCACCAGGAGCAACTCATGAGCGTTATCAAGGTAAAAGCAAAAGCCTTTGAGCTCAGCTTATGATTTTTTTCTATAGAAAGTTTTCATCTTTGTGTTTATTTTGGAATAATGTTCATTTGGGTTGCTTTTTCTTGATTGGTGTTGTGTGATTGTTTGAGCTTTAATGGGATTCATGTTTGATTTGTGATTTGGGTTGGTTTATTTGAAGCTAAAGGTTTCCATTTTTGCATTTGTTTTATGAGGAGATTCATTGGGTTTGTTTTTCTTGATTGATATCATGTGATTGGTTGGGTTCTTTTGGGATTCATGTTTGGTTTGTGATTTGGGTTTGTTTGTGTATTAATAAAATTCGGTTCCTCGAGGCTACATATGGTGCCTGTGATCGGATTGGATTGGATTGAAGGTTGTTTATGGAGGAAATGGAGGCCAACTTCCAAGTTGTATCTTGAAGGTGAAAAATGGATGAGTCATGAAGGAACTTTTGTCGGAAGGGATAAGTTTCATTCTTACTTCAACAGCCCTTGGATGTAGTGAGTTATCCAATCCAATCCAATCTTAGGTACCAAATGTGGCTTGAGTTTATCTTGTATGTTTAGCTCTAATTGGGTTTCAATTTTCTTGTTTCGGTTTTGGAAGAAATTGCATGTCTGTTGGTATTTTCCTTTCTCTTTTAAAGCTGTTGCTAGTAAGTTTATAAAGAATTTTCTGTAGTTGTTTGGTATTTATCTGTCCCGGTCCCATGCTCCCTGCCAGTAATTAGTTTTTTGTTAAAGAAACTAATCTTTTTTTAACACAGGATTTTCAACCCTTTATGCCAAGTTTTGGAGCAAAGGAGGAAATCACAAAGTTAGGGTCTTTGAAATTGGTGCCGCAGCAATGTGAGGAGCCATGGAAACTCACAAGTGGAGTGCCGGAGGCCAATTGGTTTGTAAAGACTGTCTCAGAAATTGAAAGACCTCCACTTAATTTGCAAGGTATGCACCTCATTAGCTTTTTGTTGTATGCAGATATACTCGAGTCTCTGAGTTTAGTTATAACCAACTAATATTTTCATTCCATTTCTGTTTGTTTCAGTGAACTTAAACTTTGTCTATCTTGTTCTGTTCTGTTTATAGTATGTAAAATAAGAAAGTTTGATTTGTGCTATATGATTTATTCTTATTCACGTCTGGTGTAACTTTCTTTTAATGACGGACTTGTGCATCCTAAAAATAGTAGAATAACTGTAGTAGGCGATAAGGACATATGGTATACTCACCATGCTGGGGGGGGTAGATTGGACTAGGAGTGGCGTGAGCATAATTTTGTTTGTTGCAAAGGTGTCGCCGTTAATATATGTTTGTGTGTAAATGCTTGAAGGCTGAGGGGAGTGATCGAAATACTGCTATATCCTTGTTGAATTTGTAATACTGAAATATTCTTCCTTTGCAATATGTTGAATTACCACTTTTTCGTGCTGATTACAGATGTTTGTCCAGACTCAGTGCTGTTCAGCATTGGAATTGCCGAACACTTCATAAAACGTGAAAAGATGTTGCAGTTCCTCAGATCAGGAGAGGGTGAAGTGGAGAGAGGCGCAGTAGATATAACCTTACTATATGACTTGATGGGGTTACATGAAATGGGCCAACAACCATTAATGCCATCTCTTATCTACCCGAGAAGTGAGTTCAATACCCAGAAGCCTCTCTTGGACTTTGTGGGCGATCTTCACTGGAGTTCGAAAATTACAGTTCAGCCAGATGGTCGAGTCTTATTCACAGGTACTGAGGCTGAGATGAAGCATCTCCTTTCAGTTGTAGCTGAATTTTACTCCTTGAGAAACACAGTTGTTTGGAAAAAGCAGTCTGTGTTGGTTCCGCACTTTAAGAGGTACGCATGAATGCTTGTACCTGTTTCCACTCAAATATGGCACTACTTGTTTTACGGGATCAATTACGTATATTACTCCAGAAAATACAGGATCAATTACGTATAATTTAAATTTCTCGATCTTTTCTGTTCCGCTTCTTTCTTTTCTCCTATTAAACACAACCTGACAATAATTCTATGGACCAGTGTGGGGAGCCGGGAAGCAGGAGTTATCATTGATGGAACTTTGGTCAATATGCAGGCGACTACGCTTGCTCCTTTGAAGAGGTATTGTTTTTCATGTTCTGGCTCTTGCTTTGATACTGTATTGGTTTTTTCTCTTTTTATTGACATCAACTTATATCTATCAATATCTTCGTATCTACCTGCTTTATGTGATATCAGTTTCAATACTGAATGAAATTGTTCTTTTGTAATTGATATTATTGGTTTCCACACTCGTGCGCGTATTCTGCCACCAAATACTGGATCAGGGCATCATTCTTACTGAATTTATGTCTGTTTTACTTAACAGTCCCGAAAAAGTTAAGACAAAGGCGCCCAAGCGGAGGAGTGGTAAAAAAGCAGGCAAAGATAGAGATCTCTACGAGCGGAACTACTTCCACGCCTGTGAGAGCCTTCTATCCATAATGATGAACAGAAAACAGCATGGGAAACTGGCAGTTCTCTCACTTAAAAAGTCCGGCCCAGAGCTTCCGGAACTCCTAACCCAGTTTTCTGCTGGTATCGCTGGAACTGGCTTGGCTGTCCTTTTCTCTGTCCTCTGTAAAGTAGCTTCTGGGAGGGTACCCCTTTGTGCGTCCAAACTCTTGAACACCGGAGTTGCATTTGCATTAGTCTGGCTCTCTTGGGGGGTGAATAAACTGAGGGACACAGTTGTTCAAATCAGGAAGAATTCAAAGAAGCCAGGTTTACAAGAAGAGGAAATAATGAAAAGGGTAGATAGAAGCGTGAACGAGATTTACTTGAGAGCCGGAACATTGATGGCGGTGGCGGTGTTGAGGCTTGCTTGAGCATGAAACGAGAAAAGGAAGAAGAAAACGGTAGGATGATTTGAAGAACATTTGACCGGATGGCGAGTATAAATGTACATATGCAGGCCGAGCTGAGTGATCATCAGTCGAAGCTTTGTGAGCATGAGGTGAAGGATGATCGGTCTTCTAAAGACGAATTGAATTCTGATTCCGAAGCCACTCCACGGTTGACGGGAACCTGGAGCTCCCCTGAGCTCTGGCTAATGACCGGTCAGCCGGTAGTAGTAGTTTAGTAGCAATCGCAGTTTTCGTGCACAAACTCTCTCCCATCCCCTGTATCGCCATCGCCTCTATGACTAGATAAGCTGTTTTCACTGGTTACTTGTATTCTTGTCATGGCCGGTCCTCAATTTAACGTCTTCGACGCTAACAGTGGCAGACATCTTATTTCGGTTAAGGAGCAAACCGGAAAACAAACACCGAAACCATACAGAACAAACAATTAGAGCCCGTTTAGTATTCTACTTTAATCTAACTTTTTAAACTCAAAAACAATTTTTAAGTTTTAGGCCTTAAAAACTTGTTTGGTATGATTATTTTAAAAAACTGAACTCAAGAATAATTCAAAAATATAGTTTATCATCTAAAAACACAAAAAGTGAGTTTTTAGAGTGTTTAAACTTAAACTCACTCTTGTCTTTTCTCCCCCTTCTCCCCTCACTTCAAATCCATCTCTCTTTTCTTCTTTCTCTCTCCCCCTTCTCTCTTTTTTTTTCTTTGTTTTTTTTACATTTTTCGTCACTCTTCCAATTCGCTCTCTTCAGTTTCTCGGTTCTTTCTCTCTCTCTTCTTCCTCTCTATCTCCTCCGATCTTCTCACTTCTTTCTCTTTCCTCCAATCATCTCTTACTTTCTTTCCTCCTCTCTCCTCTTTCTCTCTCAACCCCTTTTTTTGGATCTTTTTGTCCAGTTTAAGTTGTAAGATTTAAAATTTTTAAATCGCATACCAAACAAGTTTTTGAGTTTTAAAGAAAATTGTTTTAAAGAAAAATTCTTAAGAAATGCTTTGAGAAATTATAAAAAAATTTAAATATGATATCAAACAAGCTCTTAGGGTTTTCCTTCGAGGAAAGCGAAATGGATTAGCAAGGAATCGGAAAAATGTCATATTGTACATACAAAAGAATACAAGTCACTTGAACATGCTAACCCTGATCGCATTATTGCCAGGCTTGGGAACAAAAAGACTAATGGGATGCAAAGGTGCCAAATTTACTCAATTTACTCTCTTCATTCTAACACCAAACAATCTCATCGACTGAACCTAAAACAAACTCATCCACTGAACCTAAAACAAACGCATAAACCGCGGATTATGTAAACAATTATGACATGTCATGTTTCTCTTAGTGAAGAGTTCTTTGTTTCTCGTCGCCTTTTTCCACTAACGTGAATACAGTAAGTGATTCAAATGATCGCGCACCGGAAAATCTTCACTCTCAGAGTACTTTCGAAACAACTCCTGCACCAACCGTTCTACCTCCCTCCCTCAAGGCAAATCTTTGTCCTGCCAAATGAACACAGGGAACGTTTAGCCTTAAAAAAATTTCACAATTAAGACACGACAACTAGTCGTGTTAACTATTAACAAATAAACAAAGAAAATTCTTAGGTTTCTGTGGCAGAGATGATGTGAACAAACCTTGTTCAAGAGGAACCGGTTGAATCAGCTCAAAAACTGCAGTCACGTTGTCTCCAGGCATAACCATCTTAACATTTTCGGGCAGTTCTACCTTTCCAGTGATATCTGCTGTTCTCAAGTAAAACTGAGGCCTGTAGTTTGAGAAAAAGGCAGTGTGGCGTCCACCTTCATCCTTTGTGAGGACGTATATTTCTGCTTCAAACCTCTTGTGTGTCTTCACAGTTCCTGGCTTAGCAATTACCTGTGCAATGGGACAAATAAGTGAGGCGGAGCCATCCAACATTTACAGCAGTCGGTGCCAATACATAGTTTCGTTGCCATAATAAAGACAAAAATTTAGAGCATTCGAATAAACAATAACCAATAGAAGGATAATTTCCACATGGTATAACCTAGTTGGGCAAACTACAAGGGTTAAATATGGGTTTTAATAAAATTTCCACAAGTTGTATAAAGTAAAATAAAACCAACAGCTGATAACTTTCAGGTGCAATTGAAACCACATACCTGTCCTCGTTGGATATCTTCCCTCTTCAGACCTCTAAGAAGAAGACCGACATTATCACCAGCCTAATCAAGTGCACAAACCCATCAACAACAACAACAACAACAACAACAAAGCCTTTTCCCACTAAGTGCACAAACCCATCAATGAAATATATTTCCTGCTCTTAAAAAGCATTGGTATCTTGAAGAGTATTTAGATTAAGTCACTTACTTGTCCATGATCCAAGATTTTCTTGAACATTTCAACACCGGTCACCACTGTTTTCAAAGGAGCACCCTGAAAAAGAACACAAACTTAGGACCAGACATTCGTAGAGTGGTATTTTACCCTAAAGCTATCAAAGACACCCATATCAAAAGGTTAATGCCAACTCATAGAATGAGTTGCATATACTAAATCATCTGCTAAAGAAGTAATAAGGGAAGAATCGCATAAGAAAGCATTGCAGCACAATAAAATATAAAAACTTGTTTTACACAAACCTGATGTAAACCCAGAATCTCAACTTCCTCACCAACTTTAATGGTCCCTTGTTCAACACGGCCAGTGGCAACAGTTCCACGACCCTTCAAGACATTAAAAAAAAATTAATTAGTAAACTGACTGCTACAATGTAGCTACTGTAACACCAAAAACTAAAAAATGAAAATCAAGTGAAAATAAGGAGCAGAACAGAGCAAGGCAAAAAGAACTATGCAACATGAAAATATGGACAATTCAAATAAAGCACGTCATTGTTCTAGGAAAGCTTGTAATAATAGTTTCATGATCAAAACAATAGTAATAGTATAACACCTAATAATAGTTCAAAACAATAGAAAGAGTATAGGAACCAACGATAATATTACAATGGAACTGTACTTGGATATTATGAACAAAATTGCAGGCAAAATTTAAGACAATTCTTGTAATGAAATAACAAATGTCAATACCCTAAAGGATTAAGTTTAACTCATTAAGGAATCTGTAAATGAGTGTACCTAAATGCATCCCCAACTTACCTGAATTGAGAAAACATCTTCAATTGGCATCAGGAAGGGTTTGTCAAGCTGGCGTACAGGGTCAGGAATGTACTCATCCACAGATTCCATTAACTTTAAGATTGCCTTTTTGCCAATCTCATCATTTGTGCCTTGTAAAGCCGATAGAGCTGAACCCCGGATAATCGGAATTTCATCCCCAGGGAACTTGTAGAAGCTAAGAAGCTCTGCCAGAAATAGAAAGCAAATTTATAAGAACTTAGATTGAATATAAAGCTATCAGCTAATGAAATGATCTCTTAAATGATAAATGATTATATCTACTAACCACGGAGCTCCATTTCAACCAGCTCTATCAACTCCGGATCATCGACAGCATCAACTTTATTGAGAAAACATACAAGTGATGGCACACCAACCTGGGCAATACACACAATAAGAAAAGTATACACATTATCATACACCATAAATGCACGAGATAAAACACATCAGTTTGAACTTTTTAAAATCTAATAACATAAAATACCCACTTGGCGAGCAAGCAGAATGTGTTCCTTAGTTTGTGGCATAGGCCCATCGGGAGCAGAGACAACCAGAATACCTCCATCCATTTGGGCAGCTCCAGTAATCATGTTCTGCATATTAACCATTCATATTAGATGACTAAATCCATGCACAAGACTACTTAATATTATTCCCTCGAATTCAAAGCTTACTTTGACATAATCTGCATGTCCTGGGCAGTCCACATGCGCATAATGGCGCTTCACAGTCTCGTATTCTACATGAGCCTACAAAATAAAGGCAAACCTAAGGTAGGTGGGAATAATAATTCGAGAAGACGGGCCAGAAACAAATGGAAACTAGTAGGGGTTGTTTGGTATCCTTCTTGAGTCCAATTTCTTGTTTTTGAAACTAATGAGTACTAAGTAATTTAGCTACATTCATCATTTTCGAAAACAAAAAATTGGATCCAAGAAGGATACCAAACAGACGCCATTCCAAGAATATAAAAAGCCAAGCTGATAATAAAGACAAACTTCTAACCGTTGCAATTGTAATTCCTCTCTTTTTCTCCTCAGGGGCCTTATCAATTTCGTCAAAGGCCACAGCCTTAGCTTTCCCTTCTTCTGCCAGTACCTGAGAAAAACTCGAAACATTATATTATGATCGAAAAGTTTCCATTTTTTCCTCCAACTCTCTCATATGAACTGGGTCCGTCCCATTTCATGTGACGGAGATGGGACTAAAGTTGGGAAAGCAGTTATCTTTAGCAACATCATTTTATGCTATGTTTTATGAAGCAAATGCAGAGATAGAAATACAGCCCACAAAACCTCATATACAAGACAACCAATACATCGAAATGACCGACCTTTGTAATTGCGGCAGTCAGCGTCGTTTTTCCATGATCAACGTGTCCGATTGTTCCAACATTCACATGAGGTTTTCTGTACATGCATTCACAATACGATTACAATTCACAATCCAAAAAACTCACATCCAATGACGCAAAATCCAATTCAGATAAAAACAATTAAACCCAATAACAAAAACTCAAACGGTGCAAATCTCTCAATTAATTCGCTGCAAAAGGTCCTAATTTCTTACGAAAATGAAAAATTCAAACTTTAAGCAACAGAGACAACGAGTGAACACTAACGTGCGTGTGAAGGTGGCCATGGATCGCCACCAAGGACTAGGACTACAAGATCGGTCATTTCCGAAAGCAGCGTCGGAGATTGGAGAACCGGCGGCGGCGATCGATCCTCGGCCGCACAAGTAGATATGCGAGGAGTAGGGGAGGATGCGCCTGGACCCAGGGTTCCTGAGAGCGACCGCAGCCATTGAAATGAAGGAAGAAGCAGAGAGACAGAGATGGACTTTTGGCTTCACAGCCTTCCCTACTCAGTATGGCGGAGATTTGAGCGTTGGGGTTTTAGGGCTTTTGGGGATTTCACGAGGGTTTTTGCGGACGGGCGATTTTGGTTAGAACTTAGAACCCGTTAAAACGCACCCGTTTCAATCGGAAACATTTCCTCTCTGGGTCTCCTACCAAGGCTATGGGATCAAATGATCCGGGCCTTTGAAATTTCATCTAACGATTCACCTATTTTGATGCTTTAAAAGATATAATAATTTTTAGCTGTTGGATGAAATTTCAAAGACCCAGATCACTTTATCCAGCCCGTCTAACGACCTGTATTAAACAAAACCAATATGATTACGTATTATGTAATTAATTATCTTTTGGTCTAGTGATATTAATTTATTTATAAAATAAGATGTTAAACTATATCAGACTCTTTCATGTTAAATAAGATGTTACATCAGAGAGATTTATAAACCTAAATATAGTTGTGGGTTGGAACTTGGAGGACAAAATACATGAAATTTCAAAAACTAGAAGGAAAAACTCAAAGTTTATTCTTCAGTTGGACAATGTGAAAGAATATTATTTATGTATAAAACTAAATCAAACTTTAGATTTTTATTTTTAAGAGTTAATTATTTGTTTATAAAATAGGATGTAAAATATAGTTTTGACTATAAGCAAATAGAATTTAAAATTTTTGTGTAAACTAAAAAAAAATATATAGTTGTTGACCCTAAAAACTACCAAGCCTACATGGCGTGCAGGCCGAGTAATCTATAAGCTAACTACGTCATTCGGTTGAATGCGAGGCGTGCCAACTCGTTGGCCGAGCTCGGCCGAGGAGTAAATTTGTTGATGTTGCGTTGGGTGCGCGGCCGACTTCTGCGTCTTGTGATTGCGGCCGATGAAGGAACACGTCTCGGCCTCTTGGGTTCTCGAACCTGAAGACAAGGCTACTATTCTTACGAAGTTCACGAATCGTCGTCGTCGGATTCGATTACAGTGATGGTATTCGTCAGAGTAAACTCACGCCGAATCGACACCAAAGTGTAAGGGCACAAATACTCAAAGTGGATATGAGTCTTAATAGTGAACGTGGTTCGGCCGTCTGAATGCCGAACTCTAAATCCCACTTGAGAGTATCCAATCATAAAATAACTCGGCGAGCAATGCGCCGAGCTCAGTAAGCTATAACACCTCACTTCGCCGAGAAGGCTAATGAGATGACCATAATCAACAAGGATTCGGAAACCCTTCTCGACCGAGACTTGGATAGGTAACCAACCGTCCTCGCCACAGTGCTGTTGATGCCAACGGAAGATGCTGCGAGATCGGCTGATTCTACGGCGACAGAGTTATCTATGCCGACTGAAGATATCACTGGTTACTTTCACAGTGCTGTTGATACCAACGGAAGATGTGTCAGCGAAAAGATAAAATAAAAAATGTCAAGTTGTTAAGAGAGTTTGCGCATGGTAGTTGTGTGTTGAATTAGGGGGGCCTCTGAATGGTGCACGACCTCTCATATTTATAGTGATGTATATCTGCTGCGGCATCCAGGCTAAAATAATACTCCTCGAAATATTATCTTTAATACCCCACGGATTGCTTTTCAATTCTATCTCCTGCATGCAATCTCATCTTCAAATTAGTCTTTGATTTGATAATGTCTGACAACATCATCATCACCCTAAAAAGTCCTAGCCACCCTAGGCTTCTTAAATGTCACCATTATCCAATACTTTTATCTTGGCATTCCCCCATACTTTCAGACTAGGTGCATGCAACGAACGTGATGTCAATCTTTTGAAGATACATCCAGGCCATTCTAATCCGATGCATAGCTAACAACTCCAAATTATTCCGGACTGTTCTGCTTGTTTGGAGGTATAATTTGCATCTTATCTTATCCCATTCAAGAATATGTCAAGATAACTCATAAAAAAATTATTATTATGATAAAACCCATAATATTATCCTTTAGCAAAAATATCTCCATTTTTCCATCCGACGGTTGAGAACCATGCTCACTCAACGGCCTCGATTACTCGGGCCAATGATGTAAAATCATGTCTAAACAATAGTACATACTAAGTTTACCAAAAAATATATATATAATACTAAATTATTTAAAAACTAAAAGCATGAGGTTAGGCATATGTACAAGCTAGCCTTATAATGCCTTCGCCTCTGTTTATACCCGTGGACACTAGATATATTCAATTAGAATTTTGAAAGAGTTTCGGTGAATTAATAATTTCAAGGTATTAAATTAGATTTTAAGAGACTTTATATAAAAATTTAGGTGTATTTAATTGGGAATTCTAAAGATTTTTGTGTAATTATATTGTTGTTTAGCAAAATATTGTGAATTCACAATTAAATAATTTTAAAAAGAGTAATGCTAAGAAGACTAAATTTGTAGAAAAAAATTTAGAAACAAAAAGATATGGAAGTTGATGATTGGTTTATTATTTAAACGTTGATAAACGTGTTCATCAACGCTTAAATAACGAGACTTCAGCTTCCTTTTAAAACTCAACTTCCTTTTATATTTTGAGTTTCCTTGGTCCGTAAGTTTCATTATTTCTTAAGTCGTAAGCTCTTCCATATATAACGAGACTTCAGCAGCAGTTTGTTACTTTGATTAATCCTTGATCGGAGAGATGCGAATTTGGGAGGGAGTATGGTGGTGTTTGGGTGCACTTGCTCTTTACCTGCCCGGATGGAGATTCAGCAGGTAAGTAATTAACCTAAGATTTTATATTAAGCAGAGATTAAACTTAATTAGTAACGAAGTAACGATTAATTATCTATTTTCAAATTATTATAGAAGTTAAATTTCTTTGAGGTATCACTTAATAGTATTCTTTACAAACGAATATTATGGACGGTGAGTTGAATACCAATCTATTTCTCGACGCCTTAGCGTAAATATATTGTTGTAACAAACTGATGTTTTGTGATTTTACAGTGATGCAGATGTTCTTGAGTCGGTCCCTCGGATTAATCCGATGAGTGAATTGGGTATGTGCCTCTTTTTCGAAAGACATGAATCGGGTTACTTGCACATACACTCTCTGAGGTTTCTCGAGTTTTCACAAAACTTCCTAAGATTTTGAAAGTAACACAAACTCTCCTTGGTTTTCTAATCAACCGGTGAATATAATATTTGAGTACTAAATGAGTAGTTTACACCGAAGGACATGCGTATATTATTTTTCTAAAAGCGATATTGAGGGAGCGAGAACTTAAAACGCGCAACCTCGGATGCAAGGGTGAATGCTTTAGCCGCTCGAGCCATGAGCCCGTTGCATATTGGACAATATGTGCCATGAGCCCGTTGCATATTGGACAATATGTTTTGAAGTAAGAGGATAGATGATAGCAGCAGTAGGAGAAATAACATGATGATGGGAAACAGATAGACTTTTAAACGCATTTTTGTATGGAACATTGCTAGGAAAGAGATTTATTTGCTATCGATGCTGTTAGTTCGTCGGCTTTGATTTGTTTCCTACATAACGTCGAGTTGTCTTGTTTCATTTGTCAGCCAAACTGTTGGAGTTTAGGCGGACACCTTTGGTGGTTGGAGTTTCTGGGACCGTTTGCTGTGAAAATCCAATCCACTGTGAGTTTGCTGGTTTACGAGGCGTAGTTGTTATGCAAACGGTACAGAAATGATAACTTCAAACGTCGTACATGAATTTTGAGTGCTTTCTTTACTGGTGATTTTTGATATCGACTTCTTCTTTAGGCAGCACAAAGGTTTCTGAAACGCAACGAGAAAGGTGAGTGGCAGATGGGTTATACTTCGCTACTTTCAGAATGTAAAGAAGTGCCCTGGTATTTGGTGAGTATCTGCTCGCTGTCACCTCTCTCTCTCTCTCTCTCTCTCTCTCTCTCTCTCTCTCTCTCTCTCCCTCTCTCTCTCTCTCTCTCTCTCACATGTTCATTGTTGTGCTTGATGGTGATGGTGGTTCCTTGATTTTGTATACCAGGATGATGGAACTGGCCGGGTGAATGTGGTCGGAGCTACAGATGCCTCAGGCTTTACATTTCCAGCTTCAAGTGGTCAATTTGAACAGTCCAGGAGATGCCACAAATGTGAGATGAACAGACTCGAATGTGAGACAAAGAGAAGCGTCGAGCGTGAGAGAATAGATGACCGTGAAGGCATCAAGGTTTGTATTGTTTAGTAATATGCATATTTATATATGGTAAAACTTCATCGGTTTTTTATCACAAATTGTCCTTTATGTTTTGGCAACTCATCAGTTTGGTTCTTCATGTATTCACTTGCTCATCAGTTTAGAATGTTCAAATATATTTTGTCACTCATCTTCGACTTTGGAGCTCTTCCCCGTTGATTGAAACACAAACAGAGAGGGAGGAAAACATGGTGCTGCTGCTGCATTCTCAAATTGAATTGAGGACCTAGAAGTCTATGAGAACTTGCCAGGGGGCGAGTGGTTTCCGTTTCAGATTGCGGGACTGAGTTTAGGATCTGGGAGTTGACTGTGGGGTTCTCGGAGGTGGCAGCTTGTTGGATGAGCGAGTTAATAGATGAAGGACCAAACTGATGAGTTGCCAAAACATAAAGGACCATTTGTGATCAAAACCCAAATCGGTTCAACTAACATTTTGCTATTTTGTCTTAGTTACTGGGAGTCCAGAGAACTGAGCATGTACTTCCAATTGGTATTTCTCTGAGTGTTGTTGGTGAGGTATGTTTGAAATGCTATGAACTTGTGATGTTAGGCCACTTAATATATACACCAATCCTTAGGTTTCAAATTCATGTTCAGGCCGTCAAAGACAACGTTGGTACCATTCGCATTCAAAAACCCCACAAAGGGCCATTTTATGTCTCCACCAAATCCATCGACGAGCTCATTGCGAGCCATAAGAACTGGGCAAGGTTTGTTTTTGCAATGTACACTACTCATCCGCGTCTTTTTGCGCCTTCTCTGAAGCACAATTAATATAAACATCTTTACCAGGTTTCTGAAATGTGCATCTTTTGGTGTGGCTGTGATCGGTCTTACTTTGAATGCCGCTGAACTTGATAAGTACATCAGGGAAAGACTGCGCCGCTCCGAATGGATGAGAAGCAGGAGAAGGTAAGTTTTGCCCAAGTTACATTTATTCGGAAACTTACTGCAAGTAAAAGTCACTGGTTGTCATCACTGCCTCTGTGGATAGAAGCGCATTTTATTTAACCCCAGATATGATTCTTTTTTTTTCCTTCATAATTTGAACTGTCTGTTGAGACCGATCGAAATTGAACTTCCTGTCTGTGCAGGGCTGCTGCTGTAGCTGATATAAGATCTCGGCAACATAATGCAGGTAGGTATATCGCGGAGTATCCACATTACAATGCTACTTGTCATATGATTCGTATAATATATCGCTTGGAAATGTACCAAAACGCTTTAACATTTTTTTCTCCCAGGTTCATCGGACACAAGGGCCGTTGCTGCAGATTATATAAGATCTCAAAGAGATAATGCAGGTAGATATATAGCGGAGTGTCCTCGTTACAACACTATTTATCGGATAATATATGCTCGGAAATGTGCTGAAAGGCTTTAACTTTCTTTTTTCTTCTCCCGGGTTCAGGCGAAAGGGCTGCTGCTGCACCAGACGGGGCCAATTCATGTGTGATATGCCTTGAGCAGCAGTACAATGTTGTTTTCATCCCGTAAGAACTGGCTTTTCGATATTTGAGTCAATGGATCGTCTAGTGTTCCCTTATAAACTTAGCACACTTGTGACTTATTTATTGTATCAGGTGTGGTCATATGTGCTGTTGTACAACTTGCTGCTCGCAGCTGACCGAATGTCCCCTCTGCCGGCAACCATTTTCTCAGGCGGTGAGGACATTCCGCCCTTAAGAGAACGCTTAATGCGATAGGTGGTCTGGTAGATCGACGAAGAGATCTCGTTGATATGATAATATTTTTTTTCAGGAATCTGTTAGACTTCAAGTGTTCTTAGCTTAAACTGGAAGTCTGAGTTTTGTTATGCGTAATAAATATGCATCGTGTTATAAGGATAGGATGTCCTGACCAGCCTCACCTCATTTCTAAACAGAACTGTTCTCCTAGACTAGACTTCAAGATTCAAGAAAATGGTGGTCATCAACCATTTGATCGTAATCTATTATGGACTCACTAACTTTTTCTATTGTACTTTCTCATAACTTTTTCTGTTTTACTTTTTCATGTTGGATTAAGATCGAACGGTGGGTGACCACTATTTTCCTTGACCCTGAGGTCTAGGAGAGCACGTCTCCATTACTAAAACCCACTTTCACATAGAATGAGACCATGTGAATTGAGGTTGGTACTCATGCTTTCTTACGTTGAATTAAGATCGAGCGATGGGCGACCGCCATTTTCTTTGACCCTGAGGTCTAGGAGAACATGTCTCCATTCCTAAAACGCACTTTCACATAGAATGATACCATGTGCATTGAGATTGGTACTTATGCAAGATCGAATAGAACTCAACACTTAGCATTACGGTGTAGTAATGTTTCTCGTTACTAGTTTGTGAAAGGTCTTAACTTTTTTTTTTTTTTTTTGAACAAATGTGAAGAGTCTTAACTTCGATTCTCATATAAACGTATTCAGACCAAATTATTATGATTGACCCATTGTGTGGCTTATTAACTCAATCCCCATCATTTTTAGTGTAAATAATATGGTTGTATTAAAAAGTAGATTATAAGCCTCCAGATCAAATGACTATGGCTAAGATGGCTGACCATTAGACGACGGCCGAATCGAATTCTGATTCAGAAGCACTCGACGGTTGATGGAACCTGGAGCTCCCCTGAGCTCTGGCTAATGACCGGTCAGCTGGTGGAAGTACTTTAGCAGCGATTGCCAACAGTTGATGCAGAATGAGAATTCATAGGGGGGTAACATTGTGGTCTCTCCAAATCCCCTCGGTACTGTTTTCTCGTTTCGGCTCATCCTCAAATTAACGTCCTTCGACGCTAACAAGCCAGAAAACTAACAGCGAAACCATACAGATCATTTTGGGGTTTCCTTCCAAGGAAAACGAAATGGATTTGCAAGGAACGAAATTGTAAATGCAAAAGAACATACATTACTTGAACAAACTAAACCCAAAGGTGCATGAAAAAAGACTCGATTTACTGTTCAGTCTAACACCAGACAATCTCATCGACAAAACCTAAAACAAACGCATAAAACGCGGATTATGTAAATAATTAACATATGTCATGTTCCCAAGTGAAGAGTTCTTTGTTTCACCGCGCCTTATTCCACTAACGTGCACATAGAAAGTGATTCAAATGATCCAGCACCAGAAAATCTTTATTCTCAGAGTACTTACGGAACAACTCCTGCACAAACCGTTCTACCTCCCTTCCTCAGGCAAATCTTTGTCCTGACAAATGAACATAGGGAATGTTTAGCCCTCAAAACTTTTCACAATTCAGACTCGACAACTAGTCGTATTAGATATTAACAAATAAGCAAAGCAAATTCTTAGGTTTCTGTGGCAGAGATGATGTGAACAAACCTTGTTCAAGAGGAACCGGTTGTATCAGCTCACAATTTGCGAACAAAGCTGCGAACCCCATATAACGTATGATAGGCCAGGGCTAAAGCTGAAATCTCGAGGGTGATGGGGATGAGCTTTGATGAATAAAAGAGGAGTTGGTAGTATTTTTCAAAGGTGAAGCAAATCAAACCCATTTTCATATAAAGAAGATAAAAAAGAAGAACTACAGTAGCTAGGACAACCCCTGAGATTCTATTGGTAATTGAAAATGTCGAATTGAGATGTGGCTTATAAACAGGAAGATGAGGAGATAATGGGCGAAGGTTCATGTTATTAGGACTAACGGTCCCTTGTTCAACAGGGCCAGTGGCACCAGTTGCAAAACCCTTCAAGACATTAAAAACAAAATTAATTAGTAAACTGACTGCTACTGCAACACAAAATAAAAGAGTGAAAACCCAGTGAAAATAAGGAGAATCACAGAGCAAGGCAAAAAAGAACCGTGCAACATGAAAATATGGACAATTCAAATAAAGCATGTCATTGTTCTAGGAAAGCTTCTCAATATAGTCTCATGATCAACGCAACGATGATATTAAAATGGAACTGTACTTAGATATTATGAACAAAATTGCAGGCCAAAGTTAAAACACTTCTTGTAACGAAATAACAAATGTCAATAACCTAAAGGATTAGGATTAATTCGTTAAGGAATCTCTAAATCAGTGCCTAAATGCATCCCCAACTTACTTGAATTGAGATCAAAACATTATATTATGATCGAAAAGTTTCCATTAAGGAATCAAAACAGCATATTATGACCGAAAAGTTTCCATTAAGGAATCATACAGCATATTATGACTGAAAAGTTTTCATTTTCCCCCAACTCTCTCATATGAACTGGGTCCGTCCCATTTCGTGCGTGTCGGAGATGGGACTAAGTTGGGAAAGCAGTTATCTTTAGCAACATTCCTTCATGCTGTGTTTTATGAAGCAAATGCAGAGATACAAATACAGCCCACAAAACCTCACAAAAAATACAATCAATACATCGAAATGACGGACCTTTGTAAGTGCGGCGGTCAGCGTCGTTTTTCCATGATCAAATCCAACATTCACATGAGGTTTTCTGTACATACATATGTAAGTCGATTACAATTCACAATCCAAAAAACCACATCGATAGAACATAGATATGCAACTTCAATGACGCAAAATCCAATTCAGATAAAAAAAATTAAACAGGCCAATTAAATCCTATATATATATATATAATAAAAAAATAAAAAATAAAAACTCAAACGGTGCAAATCTCTCAATTAATTCGCTACAGAAAGTCCTAATTTCTTACGAAGAATGAAAAATTAAAACTTTAAGCAACACAGAGACAACGAGTGAATACTAACATGCCGGTGAAGGTGGCCATGGATCGCCACCAAGGACTAGGGCTAAAAGATCGGTCATTTCCGACAGCAGAGTCGGCGATTGGAGAACCGGCGGCGGCGATCAATCCTCGGCCGAACAAGTAGGATTGCGGCGAGTAGGAGAGGATGCGCTTGGAGCTAGGGTTTCTGAGAGCGGCCGCAGCCATTGAAATGAAGGAAGAAGCAGAGAGAGATGTTTTGATAGGACCTTGGTTCCGATCCGCCAGAAGGAGAGAGAGTTAGACTGAGTTAGAGAGAGAAGATTAATATACTCAGCTCATGACCCGTTGAAGGGTAAATACGTCATATTCAGAAATACGATATGCATACTCTACATGGGCCTAAGAGCGAGCCTACCCCCTCCCAATCACTCCCAAAAACTAGTGCTTAAAATTTCAACACATGTCAAAATATTGATCTGTGTTGTAAATAGTGTATGTATGCCCACATGCACATAGTAACCCCACATGCACATAGTAAACATTTCACAAGTTTAATAGTGTTTTGTTTGCTCTATAAATAGAGCATTACAAGTGTTCAAAAGGGGTGATAAAAAAAAGGAAGAATTGGAGATGAATGTGAGGGACTCACGGGAGAGAGAGGAAGGAAAGGAAAGAGAGAAAAGAGAGGAAGATGAGAGGAGATAATAGAGAGGGTTATCTTTGTACTCCTATTATTTCAAATTATAATAAAAGCACCATTGCTACCCCGAGGACGTACTCCAGTCACACTGATTGTAGAGGAACCTCGTAAATTTTGTGTCTTGTTTCATTTATTCCACTGCACCCACAGTCGATTTTACAACAATCTGAAAATTTATAAAAATATTGGTGTTGGTTTTGAGATATTGGTTGCTTTCGCACAAAAATTATGAAAATTTGCAATAGGTGGGTATATCAACTCATTAGATTTAATTGAAATTAGAGAAAAATTTCTCATAAAAAATTTAGAAGTTCGAAATATATTATGGATTTTGACAAAATTTCTAAATCGGTAAATAAGTCGATATTCAATAATTTTTCTATATTTCGCCGACAATGGTTGAAGTTTTCATTCGCTCCTTTTCCATATCATTCTTGATTTTTTGGATAATTCAACAGATACATCAATAATTTCATGGATATTTTAAGCACCGCCCAAAACCCACAAAATGCTCTCCACTGCGGGCACAACCAGTCAAGTTACAGTGAAATGAAGTAAAGTCTGACTGCTCAATCGAGCAAGAATAATGCCTGAGGCCATGTGTCGTGAGCTAATGGCACTCATGTTACACTTTTTTTTCTCCATGCTTGTTTTAATTAAATGAGCTCAGTACATATCCTGTTTTAATTAAAAAAAGTAGAGAGTTGCTACACTCATCTCATTGTCTTATTTCTCCACCCACGTTATATTTACACACATTATAAAAAGTTAAAAAATTAAAATGTTATTTTCTCACCGACTATTATTCCTAAAATAACCCTATATATAATTAAAGATAAATTTCTCTTAAAAAAAAGAAAATTAAAAAAATAATATTACTCTCTTCTACAAATCAGAAAAGAAAAAAACCAAGGTCTTCTAATCTTCAGCCTACACATTTGGTCGGAATTGAAAATGGAGAAGCTTACTCGAGTAAATCATCTCTCAAGCTCGAACCCATGTTTTAACTTCCTTCAGCAGTTTACTTAGTCCTGCAATATGTTTGTCGTTAAAAGTCGATTTGCACTTTGTATGAACATGATGATCTTTTCACTTCATTCATGGTTGATGTCTTTTCTGCTTGGCATTCTTACCAGTTAGGCCATCAGATAACATTTGGAACCTCTCCTGGGGCTCGTAAGAAAACCCTTCCGAAAAAATGTTCTTTGGCCAAAACAAGCCACTTAAAACACTTGGTTTATCACCGTCACAATCAGGGTAAAACCAAAAAAAGGGTATTGAACATTCACACCGTTATGCTGTTGAGTGTTCGAAATTTCAAATGGAACTGGATTACTGGAAGTCTGGAAGGAAAGGTCGATAAGGGACTGAATGGACTGAAATTATGGAACTTGAATTCCTTTGAAATTCTGGAATTTGAAGGATTACGGCACCAAGCATATAATCCAGAAGAAA